TCTCGGCGTTCTTCTGAGCTCACACAAGGGATGCTTAGGCAGTTTTCAGTACTTAACAGATTTCTTGCTCCAGTCTTTTGGACTCGCACACCTTTCTCAGGTGTAAAACTGATAACGGGAATGTAAGACAATAAGGGGAAAAAGTATTGTGACCTATGCTGAAAGAATGCTGGGTATGACAGTCCCAAAATTATATCCGCTCTTCAGCATATGACTTTATTTTGGCACACTTTTCTGCTGGGACACGTGGAGTACAATTCACGGTCAAGGTTTCCCTGTGACGGGCCTTCCCTGTTCTCCGTGTTTCAGCTATTTCATAAAATAAAGAATAAAACATACAGCATCGCTCTCCCTTCTCCAGTCCCTCACTGTGTTCCCCTACTTGGAGGTCATCAACACCTTTCTTTTCCCACCCTTACTTCATCCCCGTCAACCAGAGAAGAGAAGCCAGATCTAACTGTATCCTCTCCCCTTGGCCAGGGGGATAAGTGGATCTGTACGTAGCAAATCTCCACCATTCTGCAGAATGGTGAAAACAGCAAGGTTTTCCCTAAAAATATCCTCAAGGAAAACTCTTTCCCAGGCATGGAGGTGGGAGTGAGTTTGACCTGAGCATATGTGGAAAACCCTCCGCGTGAGTGAAGGCCAGTGAGTGACTATTGGGGTGTCATTGGTGCTTCACACTGATTTCATTGACTTTTCTTCTCTCTTTGCGCTTGATTGCAGTGTGCTGAAGCACTCGGTGGATGCTACCTACGAGGAACAGGGTCCCAGCCCTGGCTACCGAATGGAAATGTCTATCTTTTACGTGGTGTATTTTGTTGTCTTCCCTTTTTTCTTTGTGAACATCTTTGTGGCGTTAATCATCATCACCTTCCAAGAGCAAGGAGATAAAGTGATGTCAGAGTGCAGCCTCGAGAAAAACGAGGTACCCGCCTCTTCTGAATCTGGAGTTAGCGCCTGGGGGGGCTCAGAGCACCTCGGTGCCCGTGGAAGCCCCCTCCCGTGCCGTGGGGGGCTTTAGAGCAGCCGCTGCCCGAGGGGGTGTGGTGTAGAGACCAAACAAAGGACGGAGTGTTTCAGCTTTTGCATAAAAGCGAAACCCAGGGAGAGCCCCTGGGTGCTGCGCGTTAGTAAGTGCTGTCACACGTCCCCATGGACCGCACCTCCGCTTCCAAGTGAAGATGGGCTCGCATGTCAGCTCAGGCGTGTAGGTGTGAAAGGAGATGGAAATCTTTGGCCTTTTAGAGGGCAGTCGTCGGAAAGCAAACCGAACTGCAGTTGGCACAGCTCCCCGGAGGAACGCTCCTCTCACCAGCCTGGTTTTGTGCCTGGCTGAGGTGATGTCCTCCTGGCGGCAGCTGAAAGTAGATGCCTTGGGAAGGGTGTAAGACCAGGGCAAGTATGTATGAGGCTTTTCTTTAATGCCCTAGCAAATACCATCGTTTGCACCTCAGGAACCTCCTGAGTTGGCCGTGTTTTTTCCTTTAGTTAGCGGCATCTGTGTATCTTTCTTCCATGAACGTATCCAGTTTCCTCCCGAACCCATGCAGATTTTTAGCATCCGCAACATCCTTCATCTGGGGTCCCACAGCCTCAGTGACCTCTTGTAAGAAGAACCATCTCTTTTCGTTTATTTTGAAACTGGAACCTGATTTCTGATGAAAAGAGATGACTTTTTAATCAATTATTAATTAGTGCACTGTTTGTCTATATGAACAAAAAGTCCAAAATAAAGCAGAATATTTAGAGATGCTTTACCCACGCTATTTTTCAACTGAGCAGAAAATATTTTTGCACTAATTTAATCCAAGATGAGAAAATGCTCCAGAATGAAAACTTCTTATGGGTAGAAATTAGTTGTTAGCACAGTTTTATACTCACAATAACGTGAACAGCAATAGCCAACTAAGGGGGTCTTTGAGAGTTCACCCAGTAATATTTGTTGGATAATTTATTGGTAGAGTTCAGTTCACGTTTTATGAAGTGTTATTAGCTCGACAGGTTTTGCTGTGTGTGAGAACACAACGGGGTTTCACAATACTTTTTTTTTAAGCACAGATAGCATCTTTACCAATCCTCCGGTTTCTATGATTACATACCAGGAGGAATTGGCAGAGTGTTTTCTGAAGTGAACCTGTGGATTGATAACTCCCTTCCCTAAGCAGGAAGGGATCGGGACGTACCGGGAGCAGGGCTGGGACGGAAGGCTGTCTCCGAGGATTGCAGAGGGCCGTCGGAGTGTTGGGGGGGTTAATATTTTAGCGAGTGTCCAAAAGCGATTATAATTTGGGGATCCTGGGATGGATTTTACAGGGGTGGTCAGTGCTTGCATTGTGTGGGAGAAACAGAAATACCATCCTCCACTAAATGCTCTGCTCACTCTCCCAACAACATCCCAAGTGACAGAGACTGCCAGCCCTTTTTTTGTATTCTTTTCATCCCGTTTTTGTTTTGTAGAGGGCCTGCATAGACTTCGCCATAAGTGCCAAGCCACTGACCCGCTACATGCCTCAGAACAAGCAGTCTTTTCAGTACAAGATGTGGAAATTTGTGGTGTCCCCTCCCTTTGAGTATTTTATCATGGTCATGATTGCACTCAATACCATTGTCCTAATGATGAAGGTTAGTGGGCTGTTACTGAATCTTTGCAATTTTGGGCTAGTGGATGTTTGCTGGAGAGGCTTTGTAGTCTCAACCTGAGAGCCGGGGGGGGATCGGCAGGAGTAATCGCCACTTCTCAACTGCCTGATGTTGTTTTTAGAGGCCTTGTGGGATTCCTTTGGTCCCCAAAGGGAATTGGCTTAGTTGCGGTGAGATCCCACGAGTGGGATTCCCCTATGCATCGCTGGTTTGGCTCGTAGACCCTTCAGCGTATGGCCACTGGGATGGGAACTGGTCTCTGCAGGTCTGGAGCTGCCGGCTCAGCCCGGGCTTCCTGCTGCAGAGCAGGGTCGCTTCTTGGGGATGTTCGACATCCAGCCATCCCGGGGAAATCACTCCAATTTGCAGCAGCGTCAGGCTTCTGGGACGTGATCCACGGTGCCCAAACGGAGGAGATGCGGATGGCTGGATATTGTGGATGATGTTCCCCCCTATCCCTTGCCTAATCTTAGAGTATCTTCACACTCAAGGGGTCACCATATTCTTAGGGTCTGCTGGGACGAAACACAGTTCTGCCTTTGTCCTCTGGTTTTGAAAATGCCCTTCCTCCCTCCCGGTCCATGCTCTGCTTGCAGGGAGACGGACACCAGAGCAGTCTCCCCATCCTGGTTGTATCCCCAGCTACCCCACTGAGGTAGTGTGTAGACAATGGTGCGCTTCTGGAGTGGCATGAATAACCATATTGTAACCCCAAGTCTTGCTTAAAGCGAGCGCAAAATCTGGCCCTAAAATGAGCAAGAGTCAGGCAAGTCAGCTGGGAAGGTTTTATTCTGTAAGCGATCTTCCAGTAACAGCCTTTCTTCCATCCTGGTTTAGTTCTATGATGCTCCAGAAGCATATGAAGAAATGTTGAAATGCCTGAATATTGTGTTTACATCCATGTTTTCAATGGAATGTGTGCTGAAGATCATTGCCTTTGGTGTGCTGGTATGTGCCTTCCTTGTTTACTTTCAACTGTTTCCTCTCTACGTACGTGAAATGCTTGTATTTCATGGCACGCATTTAAAAGAACAAACAAATGAAAAAAAAAAAAAAAAGAAAATAACCCATGGATCCCTCTATCCCCCTTGTGTTTTCATTTGGCAGAATTATTTCCGAGATGCCTGGAATGTCTTTGATTTTGTAACAGTGTTGGGAAGTATTACTGATATTTTAGTAACAGAGATTGCGGTAAGTACAGTTTGCTCAATTTGCTTCATTTACCAACAAAGCTGTACCCTGTCAAGACATTGCACCTTCTCCCTACCAGCCTCATTCCCTAGAGCTGCCGCTGGGACTCATCGTCTGATGATGTCCTCGGGTGACCCGGCAGCCCATTGCCTTTAGCTCTGCTCTTTCCATGGAGATGAGCACAGCTGTCTGCCCCAAAGACATTCACGCAAAAAAAAAAAGCTGTGATGAGAACGACAGTACTAGTGCCTCTGCCAGGAAACAATCTCTCTTTCCCATTCAGCAAACAACTCTAACCCTGAGCCGGTTTTGCCGATTAATGGAAAAATCCTGTTGAATTTAATAGGGGTGAAAAAAGCAAAAGGATTCTGGTGAAGACGGGTGTTTTATAGTGTGAGGTGCTTTGCAGGGCACACACGCGCGTCTGTCCCGTGGGGCTCCTACCCAGTCGTGGTGATGGGGCAGAGTGAAGGCGATAAGAGGGTTGAGAAGGGGAGAGGTGATGGGAACCGAAAAACAGCCAGAAACTCATCATCCTGCATGGTCTGGCCTGGGGGAACACGGTGCATTTCTGTTCTGAGCGCAAAAGCTTTGCAGGGCAATTATTAAAACAAACAATCAGCTTTACGATGTCTGCTCTCTCCCTGCTAACAAGTCCTGTAGATTACAAGAAGTGTACAAGCTTGCCATTAAATTCTAGAGGATTTTTCCATAAGGGCAGCAAATGTCTGACTCAAGCTTTGACAGCCTGATATTATCCAATTTAGAAATTGCTCCTCTCCTCTCCCAATGCATGTTTTAGCTGATGATGTTGTATTTGTATGTGATGAATTTGAATTTTGCCATAATTTTTTTTTCTCAGTCCCTGGGATTTGCTTATAGATCTGGTTTGTGTGTGCTAAGAACTATGCTCCCCAGGCTTCTTTAGAGGACATTCAGCTGGTGGTGAAGACCATATTACTGTTTCTAACAAAATGCATTATTACCTGAACTCCTTGGTACAAAAAACCCCACACACAAACCCCCAAAGTTTTACTCCCCACACGAATGGTGTTCATTTAACAGTTGGTGAATCCTATCTCATAGGCTTTAGATTACCCTTTGTTTTCAGCGCATGGCTTGCAGCCAGGGTAAAGTTGCCCAGATCAAACACATGGTCTGATTGCCACTTTTCTGGATGCTCAGGAGCGTTACTGCACCGGGGGCAGGTACCTGCTTGCCTCCGCTCCCTCTGTCGTGGGACACCCTTTCTTGCCAGACTCAGGCACCCAAACCTTTGCCTTGGTTGGAAAATTCATGAAAACCTTTGCAAGTCAGCCACAAACAGATTGACGCTTCTCTTCCACCCCTCCTTCGGCCACTTATACCGGGAGGAAGCAGCACAGCCACCTCGCACGGAGTAAGGGACCTTGTGGTCTCTCCGAGATTGGTACCTTCTCCTTCAGGAAGGCGTCTCCTTCGCAAAACCAAGCCCACACGCCTCTTATTGAAATCCTCCTTTGTACAGCTATTTTGCAGGCAGAGAGCAGCCATCAGTGTTGCCCATTCCCTGCTGGGCAGATGGTGGTCCCTGCTGGGCAGACGGTGGTCCCTGCTGGGTTAAGGGGCCGTTGCCTGTCCCTCCAGCTCCCTCGGGGGTGGCCCAGCCTCAGCGAGGGCGTCCGGCACCTGGGGAATTGGCTACGGACCGATCAGGTTGGGCTGCGATATGTCATTGAATTTAAGGCAAAGCCACAGCAGGGCTGGAGCTGTACGTGCGTGTCCCCAGGTTTTTGGAAGCAGCAGCCATCCTTGGGCACTGTTGGGGGTGGGAGGCTTAGTGTGTAGGCAGAGGTTCCCCAGCCCTCTCCTGGTCTTTGGGCTGGCGAGCAAATGTGCTCCCAAATACCCCCGTGTGAGTCGCAGGCAGATGCAGTAACCTCAAAGGTGCTGGGACTCACGGCATCACCCTTCTGCTCCGCAGGAATTCCTCTGGTTTCCAGCATCAAAATAGCAGCAATTTGGGGATGCCTTTGAAGAGCAGTATGAATTACCTCTAAAAACAGCCAGTAAACTCCAAGAGGGTTGAGCTCCCAAGCACTTATATACCTTCTCCTTGTCCTCCCAGGTGGTAATGGAGAGGCTTTGGCTTTATGCGTAACTAGATCCATTAAGTCAAGCCTTCAACAGGACTTTCTAAGGTAGTTCAACAGCTTGCCCTGGCACTGTGTCCAACACAAACATGTCTTTAATATAAGAGCCATATGGCCCCAGTGCCACTCCAGCCCCTGACCTGTTGGTCCTCTATCTCAGTCCATGAACCTGGTTGAGCTCTGCTCTCTGAGTCTTCCCCTTCTGTGGCATTTCTGTGTAGCCATCATCTCCTTTCCACATGTAGACAGAGTGCCCAGAGGTCCCCTCCACCTTCTTGCTAGACTCCTTTCATACGGCTCCTCTCTGATGTCTCTCCAGCCTTCCCCCACCCGCAGCAGCACGCTCATCTGCACCAAACGGCTCCTGTGGCCACCAGCGTGCGCTCCCCTGAGCCACACACATCCATCTCCATTGGCGCCAATGGGCCAAGAGGTCAAATGTGTCGTGCACAGCTTGCTGGAGAGGCGTCAGCAGCTTAGTTTGCTTAAAGGTGATGCTGATGCCCAAATCTCAGAATCACTGTTTAATTACACAAGTAGGAGTTTGCAATGGTGCCCCAAAGATTACACTTACAACAGAATCATTAACGGCAGCAAATAACGGCAGCTTTCAGGATTTCTTTCCCGGAGTAGTTCATTTGCTTCATCCAGTGGCACATGGTGGAGATAGTCTTGTACCGGGACCTCCACTGCCACTGCGAACCTTCCTCGGCTCCCAGTCCTGCGGACGGGCTGTGGCACATAGGGTGGAAAACGAGCAGAAGGATCCAGCACTCTGCTCCGACCCTCTTTTGTCGGCTGTGCGATAGGTCACAATATGGGGAAACCCCAAAGTGTGCCAAAGCTGCGTGGGAAACACCAGGACTGTTTTGCTGCCCGAAAAGTGGCACGGTGCATGTATAACCTGGAAGGGTTACACTTTAAACCATCTTTGTAATATATAACCGACTCTCTTGTTCAACTGGAGTTGCACCTAAGTCACTTAAATGCTTCCAGAATTTAGAACCAATTAAAAAAAAAATGTAGAAAAGGGCCGAAAGAGCAGATGCAGTGCCAGCGAGCGTGTTTGCAAGGAGCAGTGACCATGGTGAGGAGCCGTGGGTGCCTCAGTGGCAGAGCACAGATCGGGTGTACGGCCTTGAGTCTTTAATCCCACTGCCTCTGCCCAACTGTTTTCCACCCTTCGCTTTTCCAGGTAGGGGAGAGTAGTAGCTCAGGACCGGGATGGCCATCGGCTCCACACAAAGCCCCACAGCTGGTGCTTAACCCCACTGCAGCTTTCTGGCTGGGTGCGTGACGGTGGGGTGCAGCAGCTCTCTGCACCCTCTTACGGAACTGAGGACAACCCAGGAGGAGAGAGTGGCTCTTTACTCCTTGCCGCTCAGCGCCGTGTCCCCAACAGAGGATGCTCTCTTCTCCACGTGCCCTCCTCAGCTCTGGGCTCTGCTCGGCTGATGGGCAGCTGCGGGGATCCTAGAATCATAGAATGGTTTAGGTTGGAAAGGACCTTGAAGATCATCGAGCTCCAACCCCCCTGCCCTGGGCAGGGACACCTCCCACCAGCCCAGGTTGCCCAAGGCCACCTCCAGCCTGGCCTTGAACACCTCCAGGGATGGGGCCTCAACAACCTCTCTGGACAACCTGTGCCAGTGCCTCACCACCCTCACAGGGAAAAACTTCTGCCTCATGTTTAATCTAAACCTGCCCTCTTCCAGTTTAGAGCCATTCCCCCTCGTCCTGTCACTCCATGCCCCAAGCCCTCGGATCATCCTCGTGGCTCTCCTCTGGACATGCTCCAGCAGGTCCATGTCCTTCTTATGTTGAGGACTCCAGAGCTGGATGCAGTACTCCAGGTGGGGTCTCACCAGAGCAGAGCAGAGGGGCAGAATCCCCTCCCTCGCCCTGCTGGCCACACTTCTGATGCAGCCCAGGATGCAGTTGGCCTTCTGGGCTGTGATCACACATTGCCGGCTCATGTTGAGCTTCTGGTCAATCAGCACCCCCAGGTCCTTCTCCTCAGGGCTGCTCTCCAGCAGCAGGATGGTTGGGTGTTAGCCCATCTTAGTCCTTCCCTGGGCCTTCAGCCCCGTTATTACCAGTTCAGCCCTATTATCAATTACTCCTTCGGCCGGGAGGGCTTCTGGGGCTGAGAAGCCCAGGCGACAGCCACCACGTGAACTCGACCGTCAGTCCCCATCTGTCCCCGTAACAGCCACCCGTGAAGCCCTCAGGCTCCTTGCGGGGAGGGGATGCTTTCCGGGGATAGCTTTGAGATCAGGCTCGCAAATAGTTGCAGGAGCACCGCTTTTCTCCGTGACTGTGTTTTCCAGCTGTAAGTGTTCTCCAAGGTAAATAAACTGGCTCGCCCTGGGCGGTCTCGTCTTGAGAGACCAGGCTTCCACCAGCCTTGCCGCATCCGTACTTGTAACCCACTGAAAAGTAAAGATAAAAGGAAAAGAAATGTGTTGATTAATTGCTTTATTTTAATTTCGTAGTCATGTCATATGTAATTTACTTTGTGAATGCAGTGGAATATATATATTTATTTTTTTTATTTCCTTAGGCAAAAACACATATGTCAGTTTTTTACCCTCCCAGTAACGGAAGCAAAATAGTACAATAAGTGGCATTAAGGAGAAGGTGTCCTTGCGGACACAGGTGGCCTCAGGAGGCCGAATGGGTGTATGGCAAACTGACATCTATTGCTCTGCCTGGAAATATAAAAAACATACTGAGAAGTGTTTGTGAATCGTCTCCCAATTTGCATTACAAACTGAAATGCAAATAACTACTGCACTGTCTGTGTTACCTTTAGGATCTCAGAATCTGTTTTGGTTTGAAGCATTTTTTATTTATATAATTACCATAAAATAACACCCCCAAAAGCCCAACAGTTTTTTTCCAGTGAAATTTTCAGAGTTTCCTTTTTTGCTTGTCCTGATTACTCATTTTCTCTTTTGTTTCCTGTTTTGTTCTTTATTTTCCTTATCTACCTGCTGAATCACGCCATCCAATCAACATACAATGCGAAAACCATGTCTCCGTCTGTATGTTGTGCACCTGCTGCTCAAAAAAAAAAAAATTTGTAAATAATCTTGCCAATATCCATCCATGACAACATCACATATAGGACACGGTTGGTTTCATTGAATTTAAACAATTATTTAAATTCTCTGCTTTTATTTTCTCTCGTTTTTCTTTAATTTAATTTGTTTTGATGAGATTTCCGATTGCACTGGTGAAAAAGCCTCACTGCAGCGTGCCTCAAAACTGGCTTCTGTTCTGCACCTTCTTACCCTTGGCTAATTGGTGACGTGAGGCAAACGCAGTTACCAATAGCCCGTTCTCCGCTGTTTGTTACACCCGACAATGGTAAAGGGGAGACTGTCACTTGCTTTATTTTGGTGGAAAATTGAATGAGAAGGGGAGGGAAGGATGCTTCTGGATGACCTGGAGTAGAGAAGATTGGCTGGCTGGGAAAGCCTTCGCTTTGTAAGTGGCGGTACCAAATTCAGATGTCAGAAATCAGTTTTGTTTTCTTTTACGATGAGGCGTGTTGAGCTTCCTCAAAGGGAAGCAGTACCTTGAAGAGGATTGCCTTACAGCTGTTTTAAGCCCGTGGGTTATGCCGTATTGTAAGGCAAAAAAAATTAAATAATTATTGAAGTTATTACAGACTCGCTTCCCTCAAATCAAAAGAGAAGTCAGAGGAAAGCAATTTTTATTCAATTTTGAAAGCTCTTTGTGATACCAGCATATAGAAGCATTTTGCCACCCCAGTGGACACAGGGTCCCTGGATGCAAAAGCAAACATCTCAAGTAAAATGCATAAGCTGTGTCATGAACAGGGCTGAAAAGCACTGTGAATCAGATCCCGCTGGGAATTCAGTGCCTGATTCCAAAGGTGCCTTTGGTAATACCAGCCTCTGTCTTTGAAAATCATAAATTAAGCTAAAGAGGATGAATAAAGAAAAATACAAACTAAAAAATATGTATATTCTGCCATTCTTAATTCTCTTGGCTATGGTTAATAACAGAAATGAGACCATAAGCCTATCGAAAAGTACTCGCCTGGCCACCCGGCAACAGCTCTGAGATCCGTGTTAACATCTGGACTTTCTGTTGCACAGTTGCTGTTAAGAAACTAATCAGAGTGAATCTTCACGACAGCCGGCAGATAGGCTCCCTGCCCCGCAGAGCATCACAGGGAGGAATCTTCCGCTAGGAAACAGCAAAGAAGAAAATGACAATGTAGAAGTTAAAATGTGCAATCTGAGAAGGGAACCCTCCGTGTGCTGCAGTGGCTGGCAGCATTACAGATGTGTGGGAGCTGTGAGGACATCTCTGGACAATTCCCCCCTGGGCCAGGCAGCGGAGAGAAGTGCTCTGGCATCAGCTCTGCACACAAAAATATACTGGTAAAATCAGCTTATCTCCATTTGGATGAATTTTTGGCCTTGTGCTGTCCGTGGTTTAGGTTAAAGATTTAGATTCTCATCCTGCAGTTTGTTAGGACTGCATTCTTTACGAGCAGATGTGCAGGTCCAGGCTCCTTCCATCACCCGGCATTCCAGTTAGGTCTTTGGAGCACCAAGTTGCCCTCTGGAGCTGCTTTCCTCCTTCCGCTGCGGATGATGGGCGCCTACGGTGACTGCAACAGAAGCACCGAAGTTGAAAGGTAGGAGGGAAGAAAGAGAGATCTGAGCATCACACGCTTCTAAAATCCTTTTCCAGTGCTCTTGGCTGAGGATGAAAGGATGCGATATGACATAGTGGCAGAGTCCCCAAGACACAAGAGTGGCAAAGATCTTCAGTCTTTTAAAATCAGCAAGGGCTTTCCTCAAGCTTCAAAGGAAGCCAAGACCCTGTGGAAGACTCAGTAGCTCTTCTTCAGTACTGGCAATGCCACGGACGTTGCAATGGGAACACAACCATTTCCCCTGCAGCAGTTCCTTAGCAGAACAGGTTAATTCTTGTTGGTGCCAGATGAAGAGAACCGCCAAAGCTTCCTCAGTGACCCCGTTCTTGGCTTGATCTCACTCCTCTGTGCAGCTTTGGCTGAGCCCCTCATTTTGAGGACAGAAGTCTGAAGCTTCAAGTTCGGGGGGTTGAGTTCGGCAAACGGGCTGCAGGAAGAAGCAGGGATGAGCTGCCCAACTTCTGCCGCGTTTATTGCTTTGCAGCAGCGTAATGTAGCCGTCTTCACGAAATCCTGCAGAGCGTGTCCAGCTATGACATAAAACCCTCATATTCCCATTTCAGGCTTAAAAACTCAAACCACTAAATCTACTGAGCTCATTCTGCATCCCTGTGGACAGCAGGCACAGCTCCTGCGCTGGGGAGGAAACCACTCCGCCGCTGAAGATGCTGGAGCAACAGCAGCACGCCTTATTTTTCATGGCTTTTCTGCTTTTCAGGATGGAAAACATCCTAAGAAAGGGTAAAAGAGCAGGCTGCCCGTGGCAGGACAGCAGCCAAGGCCAGTTCTTCATCCATGACGTCTGTTCTTCCCGTTTCCCTCCTGCTTTGCAGTTTGCTCCAGGAATGGCATCGCCCGGCCGAGCTTTGGTCGTGCTCCTGTCGTGGGAAGCGGTGGCTGTGCCCCGAGGCCTGGACAGGTTTTTCAAACATAATTTGTTATTCCTCAGGTTTATAAAATCCTAAAGCCATGGTGCATCTTGTGAGCACCGGTCGGCCTTTAGCATCTGTGCAACAGAAAAGCAAACAAAAACCCCGAAAGAAAGACCTTGATAACGCAGATGATGCTCGTGTGTGTGTCTCACACGTTACAGAGGCGGCTAAATGGGAGGAGAACTGGTGGAAAACGCTGTTATACACAAGAAATATTGCAATGTGGAGTTTCCCCTTTAACTGCATGCAATTCCAATACCTGCCTGGAGAGTTGAGGTGTCGAAGGACGGGTTTTCTCCGCGGTGTGCCGAGGGTTACACACGCGGAGCCCTTCCGTCCATCACGAGCGTGTGTAATTTTGCCTCCCTACGAACGGCGCGGAGAACGGTCCTTCGCACGGTCTGCCCATGTCGGTGACGGTGGATTTTCCTGGGTTGCGAGCGATTCCCCGCGGAGCCGAGGCTTTCGCTGCGCTTTAGGAAACGGCAGCGCGGTGGTCTAACAGGGGAGAGTTTGGGGCTGGAAAACAACAAAACAAAACAAAACAAAAACCAAACAAAAAAGGTTTTGGACTGTTTGCCCCTCCAAAACGCAGGGAGCGGGGCGTTATAGACATAACTGCACAGTTTTGAGCCCCTGTTCTGTATCGCATGTGTACAGAGGGTCCTGTCTAAAGCCTCGTGTAGCACAGGGACAGCTGTGCTGAGCGTGACCACGCAGTCAGCCCCGACCCAAGCAGATGTTAAGCATCGTGTCAGCTCTGAGCATGAGATTATAGCGAAGCAAAGCAATGTTCTTGCTGTTAAAGCTGCAGTAAGGTGGGAAACGGCAGGTTCATACGCAGAGAGATGGGTCCTGCAGACACTGCCTGTGCCCGTGCTCCTTGGAGGAGCGGTAGGCTTGTGCCCAGGGAAGATCTGGCTTGAGTGTTGCTCGGAAGATGATAATACGTCAGACTTGCTGGCCTGATGCCCGAGCGCCACGAACCTAAGGTCCGAGCCAGTTCCCACTGGTAGGAAAACTTTCCGTGATTAAAATGGGCACTGGGTTAAGCCTTTTGTTAAGGTTTAACCTCTTAAGTGAAACCTGAATTTTTAACCCTTAAACTTGGGAACGGGTCATTTAAGGAGCAGACTGCTGACGGCACCCGGTTATCCAGCCGTGGTCCGGCTCTCCCCCCGGGTCCTGTACAGCCCTTACCTGCCAAGGTGAGTTCAGCCCGTGTTTTGTGAAGGGAACGAAACCCGGGTGAAAAATAAAACAGAAGCTGATGCCGAGAGACAAGCGTCGAATTCTTAGTGCTTGTTTTACTGCCCTTCACCAACCCAGGGGAATCCGTGCTTGCGTTTTGCCTGCCGGAGCTGCTTTCTGTTGCTGATTTGAATGAGCTCAGTGTCGTCTGCTCTTTCATTGAACATACCTGTGCTTTTCTCTTTTCTCTTTATTTGAGGATTGAGTCTGATATACGGTCTGTGCCTAACTCTGAGCTGCTTGCGTTTTTAACGTGAGAGAAACCGAGTGCATGCCTGAGACTGATTTCTTGAACTCTTTGATGGGATTGGTGGAATGCGATGCTAATGGCCCCAAAACTGAGCTGGCATTTAAATAAATGAATAGATCCAACAAGCCCCTCAAATTCAGCATGAGCTCTGCAGCCAAATGAGCAAGAACCGTGGGTCAGTTCAATACGACAGGGTGTCTTCTGGTAAAACAATAATATAAGGGAAAGACTATTTTTGCTCATCTTTACTAACGAGAGCTCCTTATGATTATATTTTCCGCTCCACTGCTTGATAGTTTAAAGCGGGACGCTCTCCCTCTTTAGCAAACTCAGTCAAATAAGTGGCTGTGAACAGAGATTCACAAATAAGTGAATTGGAATCAGTGTGGAAAGGGGGGATATTTTTCATCTCCTTAAAATAGGAGGGCAAGAGGGATCTGGCTTTTGCATGTTTTGTTTTGGAAAGAACCCTCTCTAGATTAGCTCATTGGGGCAAGAAACCTCTTTTCCCTGAAGGAAAGAAAAAAAAAAAAAGGGGGTGTGGGGTGGGGAGAATCACACAAAACAGATGGAAATCAGAATCTGTCTCCAGCAGTTCTTTGATCCACCTGCAAAGGCGCATCTAATAATAATTTAAAAAAAATAATAAAATCAGCAGGTTCCTAAGGCACCCTCCTGCTGCTGAATGCTCAACCTCCCCAATTGATTCACTGCCATTGATCCACCTTCCAAACAGCTTTGCTGGTGCCATGTCTCCTTGACAAGCCTGTCCAGACACATGTTGTATAAACATTTAAAATCTCCAGGTTAGAAAACATCCTCATTCTTTCAAGGATGTTTTAATCTTCATGGACAATGCCTTTCTTTGTTACAGTAGAGGTTATAGCCGCAGTCCCTTGCAACTGTCTTGGCTTAAGTTCAATTCATTGTAGAAAGCGAGCTGACCAAGACTTCAAAACCACCTCATTCTTTACAAAATGATACTATGGCACCATTACTTCTCCCCCAGTCTTTAGAGGGAGAAAAAAATCTGCCTTCCTCAAAGAAAACGAGACCTCCATGGACAGCGTGAAAGGGCCTTTTCCTTTTCTACCATTGACCCAGTAGCAGAGGGGAGGGCTCTTGTGGAGAGGGATTTTCTCATACTTGCTGCATGTGGAGTGATCTGCACTGACGAATGTTTCTTTTGGAAGGTTTTCTGGTGGCCGATTTGCTGCTTAGATCGTGAAGCTGGTAATTTTAATTTCTTTTTTGCGGGCTGTGGTTTCTAATCGCGTTAATTTCTGAAGGACACAAAACCTTTACTTTCCGCAGGACAACTTCATCAACCTCAGCTTCCTGCGGCTCTTCAGGGCAGCCAGACTTATCAAGCTCCTTCGCCAGGGTTACACTATCCGCATCTTGCTCTGGACCTTTGTGCAGTCTTTTAAGGTGAGTGTTGGGCAGGTGGGAGGCGGGGAAGAGACGCGGGGAGACGGTAACGCTTGGCACCTCCGTAGCATCGTCCGTTGAGTATCACAGAGCTTCCCCTTGCTGAGGGAACGGCCTCGCTGCACCTCTGCGGAGCAATTACAGGAACGTTAACTCTGCGGAAATGCTAACTGGTTTGTGCTGAACATCCCCTGAACACCGGAGGTGCTGAGCATTTTGGGAGATGAGTCCGAAAGCGGGACGGCTCCTGACGCAGACTCGCAGCCAGTGTGCGCAGCTCCGGTTGCCCTTGAAAGCTGCCACAAAATCCCCGTGGCAAAATCTTGTGACTCGGGTATTAGCATAAGGAAAGGCTAGTCTGACTAATAAGTGCCTTAACGCCTGCGATTTGCCTGCAGCCAGTGCAAGGTTAAATTGCTTTCACCAGGTTTCAGTCTTGGTGGACTTTGAGAGAAGCAAACCCCAAACCATTGCGTTTTGGCAATATAAACTGTGAAGCGGAGTAACACAGGGCTGTGTCTTTATGATGTGGGGGATGACAAAAATGATTTTTTTGTTCTAAAGTCGAGATACTTGCTTTCCCCAGTTTTCTTTCCCCTGCCTTTCCCTCCCAGCAAGCCTCAGCACGTCGTGGCACATTGTGGCCCAGAGGCAACCAGCCACGGCAGCTGGCTATGGCACTTCTGAACTGAGTGACCCTCAAACAACTGCCTTGCAGCAGCTTAGTTCCTAACCTGTGCTTAGCCTCGAGATGGTTGTGTTCCAGATCTAAATAAGAGCCCACGTGCCCCAAAGCTGGTTATTTTTAACAGCTCCGAGCTGGCTTGTAGCCCGTTTCCACAGCTTGTGTTTTGACTCTGGTTATGGGGCACGGTCACCATCAGCAGCGCAGAGAGGAGATCATTGAATCTGAAATCAGGCTTTCGCAGCAGTGAGCTCTAGCACACCAGTATTTACTGGCTGTGCAGGTGCAGACCCCCGTCCCATCACACTTGGACCCTCTACCGGAAAGCGCCTGACTTCCCTGGCTCTGGAGGTCTCGCAGAGGACTATAGGTAGAGAGGTAAATAAGGTATATAAGAGGTATACTATAAGTAGAGAGGTGCTGTGGGAAAGCAAAGCACAACGAGCTCAGGGAGTGGCCGGAGATGGATCTTTTCACAGCTCATAGCCAGCAACTTTCATCCCCTGCTTGGTGGCGCGGTGGCACTTTACCGAGCACTGCCCATGCGGGTGGCGGGTGGCTCGGCGAGCCTGGGGACCATAGCTCTGCCTTTGCAGAGGGTCTCACCACCTTCTGGGCTGAGCTCTGAGGTCTGCGGGTCATAGCTTGTGTCCTGGGTGCTGTTGCAAGCTCAGGGGAGCTTCTCTGGGTGCAATGTCAGGGTGTTTTGCGTGGTGCTTTCTGGAAGGTGTTATGGTGGCAATTGGTATTTTATGGCACAGAGCGCGGTGGGATGCAGAGCAACTGCTTTCACAGCACCCCAGACTGGTGAGGGCTGGAAGGGCCCTCTGGAGCTCCCCCAGTCCACCCCCCGCCAGAGCAGGGG